CCAGAGTATCAAACCCCCCGTGGCGTCTCCCCCCTCCAGTCCGTCCGCGCTGCAGGCCTCCAATACCCAAACTACACCCCCTTCAAGCTCCCCAACCTCACCGAAGCCCCCTTCACAGACCGTGGCCTATCGGCTGACCCCACCAAATCCCGTCTCCTGAAAGCCGCCACGGCCATCACGCACCTGACCCCCGAAATCGGCACCGAGCTCGCCGGCCTCCAGCTGAAGGACCTCACAGACGAGCAGAAAGACGATCTCGCAAGGCTAGTTGCCGAACGGGGCGTCGTGTTCTTCCGCGACCAAGACCTGGATGTGCACGAGCAGACCGCCTTCGGGGCCTACTTTGGGGATCTGCATATTCATCAGATGGCCGGGATTATCCCGGATTTGCCCTGGGTGCATCCAATCTACAAGGATGAGACGGCGGTGAATGGGAGGTCGCATCAGATTTGGCATTCGGATGTGAGTTATGAGATTCAGCCGCCTGGGTTGACGCTTTTGAAGATGGATACTCTGCCGAATGCCGGACCGGACGGGGGGTTGGCTGGTGGGGATACTATTTGGGCTAGTGGGTATGCTTTGTATGAATGTGAGTTCTTTTTGTTTTGTGAAGAAGGGCGTTGGAGTTGTTAGGGCTAATGGGCTGGTTGGAAGCTCTCTCGCCTAAGTTGAGGTCTTTTCTTGAGACTCTAGAGGCTAAGCATAGCGGTCTCGAGCAAGCGGAAAAGGCGCTCCGGACTAACGGTTGCTTGAGAAGGGATCCTATTGAGACCATAGTAGGTTATCACATCAACATTGGCTATTAGCCTGACACAAAGCTCACACCACCAGCACCCTGTTGTTCGTACACACCCCGTCACAAAGTGGAAGACGCTGTACGTCAACGAGAATTTCACCAAGGAGATCATCGGTCTCGAAAAGAGAGTGGGGGATGGCATCCTTGATGCTCTGTACCGGACTGTCGCTGAGGGCTACGAGTTCCAGGTCCGATGGAAGTGGACCAAGAACGCTGTCGCTATTTGGGATAACCGGGCTACTTTCCACACGGGTATCTTTGATTACTGTAAGTGTTGTAGATATGTTTGTTGTTCTACTTTTTGGATTTTACTAATTCGATGTGCAGTTCCTCATTTGAGACATGGTTTACGGGTTGCTCCGCAGGCCGAAAAGCCCTATCTTGATCCTGAGTCTAAGACCCGGAAGGAGGTGTTGCAACAGGCGAGTGAGAAGGGTAACTAAATTAGAATATTTAGAGTAGGCAATGGGATCATATGCATTATTGCTTTTAAATACTACCGCATTTTCTAATTGCAAGTTAACCAAGCCATATCGACATTTGGTATGCTTCGATCAGGAAGAACGAATGTGGAATCAATTACCGCAAGTTAATCTATTGTATTGCCTCATTTTTCATATCAGGATGATTGAATCACTTCAAATTTCCCATCATACCCAGAATTTTTCCATCCATATGATAGTTTCTGCTGAAGATGATCTCATTTCCTCGCATATGAGCTCAGGCAAGATAGCTTAGCATAAGCAACAAATATCCCATTGGCACTGCGAGATAACGGTTAGATTGGACAAGCTTCTGCATCTGTCAGATTAATCAATCAAGCTTTAGCTTAACTGGCATCATATTGTCATCCATGTCGCAATCCACGTGCTCTTATCTTCCTGCATGAAACTTATATTAAAGTGATGGCTTGATCGACTCTAAAATCACGACAACCTGTCCTAGTGCTCTGAATAGGTTGGATAATATCCTCATGTCATATTTGGAAGGATCTTAGGCCGGATATCGGTTATTTTCTCTGGATGCTCGGTTAATACGTCCTTGAGGGTATTGCTGCATAGATTTGCAGCAAAATAGCAAGTGTAGCCCTAACACGGAGTCAGAGTATGCTCCGAATACTCCAAACCACAGTATCATGTCGCAATTCGTGTATAGTACCTTGAGATGTATATATTAATTTCAATTAATAATATGAAAACCATCCACAACTATAAAACTCGCGCTCCAGAGCCGACAACAATCTCCCATTGCATTGAGGCCCAGCACCAAGACCCAAACCACCAATAATGCGCCCATTTCTCCTACTCCTCTATTCCACCCTCACCGTAGGCCAACTCATCGGCCCTGTAGGCCCAACCACGCCTCTCTCCGAAAAGACCACCGAATGCAACATTCTATCCTACGGCGCAGTCGCCGATAACAGCACAGACATCTCCACGGCTCTCGAAACAACCTTCAACGACTGCGTCCGCCCCAACCCAGGAAGTCGACTCGTGGTCCCAGAAGGCCAGTACCTGCTCAACCGGGGCGTGGTGCTCAGCAATGCCACAAACTGGGCCTTCCAGCTGGACGGATTGATCACGGCCGCGTACGGCGGGAACTGGGAAATTGAGCGTTCGTTAATCCTCCAGGGCTTTGCTGGTGTTGACTTGCTCAATGCGACTATCAATGGAGAGGGTGACCATAAGTTTTTGTTAGATGTTTTGGTGATTGTTAATGGTGAGTGTCTTTTGCATCTTGCGGTGGTATAAATGTGTGTGGATAGAGGCTGATGGTGTTGTGTAGCCGTTGATTTCGAGTTTTATTCTTCCAATGGATTGGGCGCATTTCAGGGACAGGGGTATTTGTATCGGAATTTGAATAAGTATGAGGATTCATCTACTTCAAGATGTCCGGTGGTCCTGGATCGATGGATCTAATGAGACTATAGCACAGATCGACCCCGTCTCGTCCGCTTGATCTCTCCGACAAACGCCTCTGTCCATGACCTGATCCTGGTCGACAGTCCCAAGTTCCATATTATTTTAGACTTCGCCGTGAACGTCGAAGCGTACCATCTCACGATCCGAGGAGCCAACCTGGGCAGCTACGACGGTATCGACGCAATCGGGACGAACTACTACATCCATGACAACGAAGTATACACCCCATCCCACTCACCCCCCCATCTAAGAACCGTCCATTAAGGCAATACTCAAGGTAACAAACCGCGACGAATGCGTCTCTGTCAAAAGCCCCTCCCACCACGCCCTGATCGAAAACCTAGTCTGCAACCAAGCAGGCTCCGGACTCTCCATCGGCAGTCTCAACGTCTCCGCCGAGATCTCCAACATCGTACACCCCCCAAATTCCTATAACCCCCATTCCCCAATTAAACGATACTAATCACGAAACAGGTCGCCAGAAACATAAGCATCCTGCAAGGCAACAACATAGCCTTCATCAAAACCTACCCCGGCGGCTCAGGCTACGTGACCAACATCACGTTCGAAAACTTCCGATCAAAGGCCAGTCTCTACGGCCTCAACATCAACCAATACTGGCAGAACACCTTCACCCCCGACACCGGCGCCGTCACACTCAGCAATATCGTCTTCCGGAACGTGACCGGCTCTGTCGCCGACGGCGCGAAGCGGCCCCCGCTGTACCTGATTGCGAATGATCTGACCTTTGCGACGAATGTGACGGTGGAGGATGTTTCAGTGTGGACTGAGTCGGGGGATGCGGTGGTCAACAAGATCAGTAATGTTTTTGGGACCGGGGGTGACACTTACGGGGTTAATGATGGGATTGAGCCGCTGGGTGACGTGCCTACGGCTTATACGAGGACTGTTACAGTGACCGAGACGCCGACGGGGTGGGTGAAGCCTGGGTTGCCAGCTTGGGCGGCCCCGAGTACCGGGTTTGGGAGTGAGTTTTCTCTTCTTTTCTAGTTCATTTTCATATCGACTGTCTTGTTTCTTGTTATTGGGGGTTTGGCTTGGTGTGGAATGCTAACTGTGTGTAGCGGCTTCGCCCATCCCAGTTTATACGCCTTCGCCTTTGTGGAGGCCTGGTGGGGTGGACTATGATTTGCATTATTGGGGGAGCTTTTGAGGGTATTGTTGAGCTTCTATGCCAGAATGGGGAATGAGGGGTGTATAGGTATAGTAGAGTGGTGGTGTGTTGAATCTTGTGGACTGTTATGCTATGGCAGACTCATAGAGGGCAAAAGCGGGTGCAGGTGAAGAGTGAACTTCATCTTACCAATAAGAATTTCTAGCCAATAAGACGCAAAAAACGCTACTCAGACTTAGGAGTACAGGGTCAGTGTTCTTGAGATAATTCTGTTTATATTTACTATAGAGTATCGAGTACATAGAGATTATGCGCACATATAGACATGACGTTCACGTTCGAGCAGACGCCATGCCTTTACATGTACAGTACGTTTGATCTCGATATATGACATGTAATCCGGGCTGTGGTTCTTTGGGAGTGTAAATAGTATACCCTCAAGAACGTTGGCGGAAGTGCACATAGTAGGCGAAACGCCCTCTGCTTGTGAATCCTGAGGGACATAGGAATAATACTTTTTATGTATCTAGTATCTAGCTTCTAATTCCATAACCACACAGTCGGGAGGAAGTAACGACACATTCGCACACTCTGGTCGGTTGGAGAGATAGCAAAAGACACTCACCAACTTGTTATAGGGTGCTAACTCGAACACCCATACGGTATATAAATGCCCAAGGCAACCAGGCTCCCAGGCCCCCGAGTATAAACCCCCCCCCTCCCCCC